ACTGCAAGCAACTCCTTTTCAGTAACTGTGTAGTTAATCTGGGCTGGATTCAGAGTTTTGCTCGCATAGTAGATGGAGTGAAAGATTTTATTTCTCCTTTGCCCCAAAACAGCTCCTATAGCTACGTCACTCGTATCACACATCAACTCAAAGGGTTGCTCCCAATCCGGGGCAATGATAATTGGTGCAGTCACTAGCCTTCCCTCAGCTCCTCAAATGCGTTCAGATAGGCATCATCGAACTTGAAGGAGACATCTTTCTCAAGCAACCTGCACAAGGGAGAGGAAATTTTCGAAAAATCTTTAATGAAACGACGATAAAAATTTGCATGGCCCAACAAACTGCGAATGCCTTTGACGGACGTTTGTGGGGGCAATTTTTTAATTGCTTCCACCTTTGCTTTGTCCACCTGCAAACCATTTTTAGACACCTTGTGCCCCAATACTATACCTTCACGTACCATGAAGTGGCACTTTTCCCAGTTTAGCACCAGGTTCGTCTCTTCACATCTAGCAAGTACTTTATCCAGATTCATTAAACAGTTATCGAAAGAGCACCCAAACACAGAAAAATCATCCATGAATACTTCTACAAATCTTTCAACCATATCAATAAAAATAGCCATCATACACCTTTGAAAAGTCGTAGGTGAATTACAAAGACCAAAGGGCATTCTCTTGAACGCATACGTGCCATATGGACACGTAAATATGGTTTTCTCTTGGTCCTCTGGGGCTATAGCAATCTGATTATACCCAGAGTAACCATCTAAGAAACAGTAATATTCCTGGCCAGCTAATCTATCAAGCATTTGGTCAATAAAGGGGAGAGGGAAGTGGTCCTTCTGGGTGGCATTATTCAATTTTCTATAATCTATACAAATCCTCCACCCAGTGACAGTTCTTGTGAGAATCAAATCCTTATTTTCATTAACAACCACAGTCATCCCCCCATTCTTAGGTACACATTGAACGGGGCTTACCCATTTGCTATCTGAGATTGGAAATACAATACCTGTGTCAAGCCACTTAATCACTTCTTTTCTTACCACTTCTTTCATGATTGGATTAAGTCGGCGTTGTTGCTCTACACTTGGCTTGTGTCCGTCCTCCATGAGGATTTTATGCATGCAAAAAGCTAGACTAATGCCTTTAATGTCAGATATTGTCCACCCAAGTGCTCGCTTGTGCTCACGTAGCACCCTCAATAGCTTCTCTTCCTGCAATTTAGACAATTCAGAAGAAACAATAACAGGTAAAGTGTCAGAGTCACCCAAATAAGCATATTGAAGGTGAGGGGGCAAAGGTTTAAGCTCCAATTTTGGAGCCTCCTCAATTGACAGTTTTGGGGGCGGCCCGTCTGGCCTATTCAAGGGCTCAAAGGGGTGTATCCTCTGCATGTAAGCACATGATGTATCCAGGATGTGCATCATCTCCTCAACCTCCTCATCGTTTCCCATGCTATTGAATAACATAAGTGCTTTCTCTAGAGAGTCGTCTAGATATACACTTGTGTCAAGAATTTGCTCGTCAGCCTCAACAACAGATATCATTGAGAGCTCCTCATAGTGGCGGGGAAGTTGGATTGCTTTGTAGACATTAAAGACTACTTGCTCATCATCCACCCTCAAAATCATTTTTCCCTCTCTCACTTTAATAATTGCATTACCAGTAGCCAAGAGAGGTCGCCCTAATATGATTGGGACCAGTTCGTCAGCCTCATAATCCAGGATAATGAAGTCAGCTGGGAAGATAAATTTTCCAATTTGCAGCAACACGTCTTCAATCACACCCTCGGGGTGTGCTATTGATCTATCAGCCAGCTGCAACATCACAGTAGTTGGCCTTGGAGCTCCCAGGCCCAATTGCTTGAACAAAGATAAGGGCATCAGATTTATACTCGCCCCCAAATCGCAAAGAGCACGACCCACATCAATATTACCAATGCGCACAGGAATGGTGAAACTGCCAGGATCCTTAAGCTTTTGAGGAAGCTTGTTCTGGACCCTTGAGGTGCACTCCTCAGTAAGTGCAACTGTCTCAAATTCAGTCAATCTTCTCTTGTGAGCCACTATATCTTTTATGTACTTAGCATACTTTGGAATTTCATGCAGTACATCAACAAGTGGAATATCTAATTGAATCTGGCTCAGCATGGAGAGAAATTTGTTGAACATGCGATCATCATTTTTTTTCTGCAATCTCTGGGGGAAAGGTGGCGGTGGCCTTGCAGCCTCCACTAGCTCTGGAATTGCATCAGTATTCTTTGATTCATGCGTTTCCTTAGGTATCAACTCCCCCTCGGGTGTAGCCTTGTCTTTTCTTTTCTTTGGCACTTCCTCCAGCTCTTTCCCGTTTCTGAGTGTAACTGCATTCACTTAAGGGTTCTTTTCTGTATCACTGGGGAGAGCGCCTGCAGGTCTGGTGTTTTGATTCGTTGCCAACTGCCCCATTTGCCTTTCAAGATTTCTGAAATCGGTTCTAAGCTGCTGATTGTCAAGCAACAACTTCTTTAGCAAATCATTTGTACTCTCTTCCATTTGTTGGGGTGGCTTCTGAGGTGGATTGAAATTCTCTTGGGGTCTATAATGATTCTGATTCTGCTGATTTCCTCCCCATGAGAAGTTGGGATGATTCTTCCAATTTGGATTGTAAGAATTCCCGTACTGTGCATGCTGATTCGATGGACCTCTGTTCTGCTGCCCTACATAGTATATAGATTCAGGATTCGTAGGGCACATGTCACTCATATGATTGTCACCACATAATTCGTAGCAAATAGCCATTTGTTGTACATGTTGCATTGTTTGTGGTTGCTGCATCATCATCCTAGTCATCTGATTAGCCAACTTTGCAATATCGGCTCTCATGGTTGACAAGTCGTCAAGCTCAAGTAATCCAGCTGATTTTTGCTTAATTGCCTTTCGTGAATCACCCTCACCTTGCCAATTATGATCATTAGCCGTGAAGATATTTAGCAAGATTTGGATTTCACTGTACGGTCTGGCTATGCAACTACCCCCACAAGCTGAATCAAGATTCATCTTTGAGGCATCATCTAACCCATCCATGAAAGTGTGACCCAATACCTCGTCAGTTTGACAATGATGTGGACAGTCTCTGAGCATCTTCTTGTACCTTTCCCATGCTTGACGAAGTGTCTCGCCATCTCGTTGTTCGAACCCAAGAATTTGACTCCTCAATATCTTTGTTTTCTTAGTGGGGAAAAACTTGATTAAGAATTTCCTTGCTAGATCATCCCATGTGCGGATTGAGTTTGCGGGCTCCTTCTGCAACCACTCCTTAGCGTCCCCAAGCATTGAAAAGGGGAAAAGTGTCAGCCTGACATAGTCCTTGGAAACATTCGGATAATTGTAAGTGTCCGTAATTTCCAAGAAATTCTGAATGTGCCTCTGCGGGTCTTCACTAGGTAGACCCACATATTGCCCTGTGGACTGGATCAGCTGCACCATGTATTGTTTGAGTTCAAAGTGCCCTGTGATGTCAGGCTTCACAATAGCCTGAGTCATGTTAGCAAGACTGGGCCTTGCGGCTTCAATCACTGCGCGTTCTTCATTCCCCGCCATCTCTATTGGTTGTGGTTGGACTACTATGTCCAATTCTCTTTCAATTCTTGTTCTTGCGTCTACTTCCCTCTTCACTCTGTGAAGTGTACGTTCAATCTCAGGATCAAGGGGAAGTAGATTGTTTGCGCTTCTACTCCTCCGCATTTAAGAGAAGAGCCTGTGTTAACACAAAGAAGGTAAACTGAAAATTAAAGCTTGAACAAATAACTAATAAAAGCTTAACTCAGTCAAGTAGCTAATTTCTAAGTCCCCGGTAATGGCGCCAAAAACTTGTTGCTACCAAAACACTCACGCAAGTGCACGTGATCGTCAAGTAATAAAGTAGTGAGTAAGGTATCGTTCCCATGAAGACTTGTGATTAACTATTGACTGATTTAACTCAATTAACTTATCGATCCAAGAGATTTTTCCACAAAGAATATTCGTCTTTAATTACTACCTAAAATATCAATTAATAAACTAACTAAAATAATCAACCAAACAAATAGCAACGTCGAATGACAAGCAGTAGGGGAGAATATTCCAGGGTCACGGGCTAGTTAACAATCATGTTGCGTTCTTGGCTTAAAATAACTAATTGATTTATCTGGGTTGTTGATTGACAGGGTTAATATTGCTCATAAGAATCTGTCGAGTTCTTACTCGCCTATTCAAGTTAACTTAATGCCTATATGTCTATGGAATTAAAATTAACAAGAATGCATTTATAAATCCTGTATTTCAACCAAACAAGGCAATTAGGTATATGTCTATCCTAACCGCGAATCCGTTCCCCGATGCCCAGGTTCAAGAACTTTCTCTATTTAATTCTATATGCAATCCAAAGTTCCCACTTTCGAGTTTAACTATAGATTCGTAGATAGTATTCCACTGTTAGCTACTCAGCAAAATAATTGAGAACAGAATTAAATAAACAACCCAATATGATTAAACCAACTTTGTTAAATTAAACGCTGAACAACAACAATCATGTTTCACCCATGACCCTAGAACAATAGGTTTTAACCACTCATAGTAGTGTTCATCTCAATGATGTTTAATTTCATTCAAAACGTAAAAACAAGAAGAAGAAAAGAAGAACTTGATGTTGGATTTTCCTCCTTGCCTCTTGCCTCTATGTTTCTTGTACTAAACTATGAAAACCTTGATATCTAATCCTTGGGCGAGCTTGACTCTATATAGGTTAAGTGAAATTTCCTCCAGATTTCCAATTTTGCCCCTAACAAATCTTTACCAGAACTGGGACTAGCGCGAACGCGCTAATGCTCGCGCTAGTCTCCTGACATTCTGCCTCCCGCTTCAGGACTAGCGCGATCGCGCTACTGCTCGCGCTAGTTCAGGTCATTTTTTCTTCAATTCTTTGTCTAGTCTTTGCGCGCACTCAGCTCCGAGGGGTCTTTCTTGCTCCAATGTAGCTCCAATCACAACTTTAAGGCATCATATAGGCTCACCATCCTGCAATGTGTAAAATTCACAATTAGAGTCCATTTTTCATCATTTAACCATATTGTGACATTGAAACATAATCAAGCGGGAGCATAAACAATCGCCAAATCACCTAGACCTAGCCTATTATCATGAAGCTAAATATCTAGACTCCTGGCCAACAAACTTTGCCAAAAATAATATAAGGTAGGGGTTAAGTTTTATCAGTTTGAAGCACATATAACCACTAATAACGGATCCCTTTCTCTAAGTTAAGAACAGATCCCTTTCTCTAAGTTACTAAGTACATGCAATTGCAGAACCAAGACTACAAAAAGAACAGGTGCATAGCACAAAGAAACAATTCTGATTATGGAAAAGCTATTGGAATATAAGATGGCACTCTACACAATATCACAAGGCACAAAGAGAAGATGAAAGAGAGGTACAGTTGAGAGAGCGAGTGAGAGAGAGAGAAACATAGAACACACTACTAATATATAAAAAGTTCTGCTCTTACAAAAGAAGATTATAAATGAGCTTTTACATATGCTAAAGGATAATTCGATATCCAATACTACTAAAATACCACATACTATCACCACTTGAGAACAAAAAAGTATGAGTGCACCTAGATAACATAAAGGTTTTGTACCTAATCACATAAATTCTAAAAGTCACATGACAAGAAGGGATTCTCAATTAAATGATAAACTCCACGTACATACGCAATATTCTCCAGAGCAGAAGCATGTAATGGCAGGATCTTGCTGCAAGTATTATCTTTAAGCTAATTAACATGACTTTGTGTGGTATGTAAATGGCCACATATAGTTCTTGATCATTCCCTTCTTTTGCCATAATAGAGAGCACCTTAATTTGGTGACAAAGACATTACTATTACATGCACCTCCAACTTCCAGTAGATCAATTTAATACTTAGGCTCCAAGAGGAATAGTCATTTCCTAATTCAAATTAAAGAAATCAAATTTTGGCAGTTGTTCCCCTTCTAAAGGGCAAACGAGATACAAATGTTCATTAACACATCCAAAGGATTATTCTACACCATTCATGTTTTTTTGGCAAAATACGCAATACACACATATCACACGTAGCCTCCAAGTGTGACAGAACTTTCTGCCTGGTTTTTATAATTCTTTTGTTTATTATGTTAACAAATATATGTGAATAATATTGTTAATCTTACATGGGTTGTCTCAGCGCGCATCTCGGCCCAAGTTGTTTTTGTTCCATCCTTCAACTTCTTCATGTGGGTCTCCTCAAACACCTCATCATGAGTTACTGGTCTTCCTTTAGCCTTTTTCTGCAAAATAAAATATATTAAAAAAATGATAACTAAAGCAGTTATAAATCAAGAAAAATATAATAAACACATTACCAATCTTTTTCGATGAGTCGCCATACTAGTTGAACCCCCAGTGTGCATAGAGCCACCCTTGTCGAACATACGGGCTGCCCTTCACTGGCGGCTCTTCTTCTCAAATTCCGGAGATTTCCAATATTCAAGAAGTTTAACCCATAAATAATCAAGAATCCGATCGAGTTGGCCTCACATTATTTTCTCGAGCAGTCCGAAGCATATCAGACAACCTATCAGAACATTTCTTAAAGAAAACGGTTCGTACCTCTGCCTCACAATCATGTGACCATGCACACTTTATCTGCAAATAAAAAATGTTAGATTGAATAAAGTGAGCTAAAATAAAGTAATGATTAATTTTACCCTAAATTCAGCAAACATTCTGTCCACATGGAACTTCTGACCAGGACCTCCATGTTAAATGCAGTGAATTGCGTAACAGATCTCAAGTTTCCGGAGCATTATCCAGTCTCAAGACTTCTAGGTGACAAGTTCTCTGCCACATAATTTTGCTGGCTAATTAATTTTTTTAATTCCTGTTTTCAACTAAAATTTCTTCGAGTCGATTAAAGAGTTGGATCGAATTTCCTATATTTATGATATCATATTTGCTTGAATAGATCAACGAAGTGCTGTATCAATGTCCTATTTAAAATTCATGTTTTGAGGGGTACAAACTTATTGACAGCATATTATGGCCTGAACTTGATTGCGTCAATTAGTTCCAGTCAAAGCGCTATAACAATGCACGACACATAATCAAGAACTCCACCAAGGAACAAGAAAAATTGGAAATGTTTGCAGCTATCAATAGTTTCGATACTCAAAATGTTAATAATTAGGAGGCTCGCACGTCAACTAGCATAGCGAGTTCATAATATCTTATCAGTGAACACTCTTTTATGACAGTTGCAAAGCTGAAAACATATTTTACATAATATGATGGTAGAAGCCAAGCTGACAGTGAGATACTGAAAATTTGGATGAATGCACATGCACAAACTTCTTTTGCCTCTCTGTTTTCACATGCCATGAAAATCAAAATGGTAATTCAGATGTAAAACAACAATATTATTTTGATTAAACATTATGCATTTAGTTGAACAAACCGTTGCTGTTGTTGTTATCGTACTCTCATAATTACCATCACATTTTTCAAATCTAGGGTTTGAAATAGCAGAAAGTCCCTAAATTTCGACATAAAAGACTTAGGTTTATGTCCCTAAATCCCTAAATTTTGACATAAAATCCCTAAATTTCGACAGAAGATCCCTAAAATTGCGCTCTATAAGGCATAAGAGACTTAGGTTTAACAACAACAATTTTTTCAAACCTAAGGTTTGAAATACCAGAAAATCCCTAAATTTCGAAAAAAATTAAAATCGAAAAAGGAGAGGGTGAGAGAGAGAGAGAGCGGGGGAGAGAGAGAGTTACCTGGGAAGGGAGTGAGTTCGAGGTGAAGAATAGGTCTTGGAGCGGAGAGACAGAGGCAGAAAACACGAAATATACACTGAGAGAAAACTAAAAGGCTAGGTGAATAATAATAAAACTTTCCACTACATCCCTGGGAAATCTCTGTAGGAAAACTTTTTCAATAAAACATAAAAATTCAAAATTCAAAATTTTTCGTTCACGCGGAATTTGTGGGAATATTTAAAAACGTTTTTTTTTTTATACTTTCCCACTGTTTTCCCTGGGAAATTTTTTTAGTTTTATATAATTATTTTTTTAATGACTTTTCTCATAGAATCAGTGGGAAGTAAATTGCGCGCATTTTTGCGCCAAAACGTTCCCGCGGATAGTTAGTGGGAAACGTTAGTGTTTTTTCATGGAAAAGAAATTTCACTTTTCCCACTGAGTTTCGGTGGAAATTGCCACTGACAATTTACCCGTGGAAAATTTTTGTGGGAAAATGCTATATTTCTAGTAGTGATGGAAACGGATTGCATCTGGTACATCAGAAATGCCACCAATGCCAGGTACATGCAGACATGATAAATGTACCACCAAACGAGCTCAATGCAACAAGTGCACCTTGGTCTTTTGCTGCCTGGGGAATGGATGTCATCAGTCCGATCGAGCCCACCGCTTCTAACGGGCACCGGTTCATTTTAGTGGCTATCGACTATTTCACAAAATGGGTAGAGGTTGCATCTTACAAAGCTGTAACAAAGAAAGTCGTCGCAGATTTTGTCAAGGATCGTATTGATTGTCGATTCGGGGTTCCCGAGTCCATTATCACTGATAATGCCGCCAATCTCAACAGTGACCTGATGAAAGCCATGTGTGAAACCTTCAAAATCAAGAACAAAAACTCTACAGCATACAGGCCTCAAATGAACGGAGTTGTAGAAGCTGCCAACAAGAACATCAAGAAGATACTGAGGAAGATGGTAGAAAATCACAAACAATGGCACGAGAAGTTACCCTTTGCCTTATTGGGGTACCGTACCACAGTCCGCACATCAACTGGGGCAACTCCTTATTTACTGGTTTATGGTACCGAAGCTGTCATTCCAGCCGAGGTAGAAATTCCTTCTTTAAGGATCATACAAGAAGTCGAACTCAGTGATGCAGAATGGATAAGGAGCCCCTGTGAGCAACTAGCCCTCATAGACGGAAAAAGAATGAATGCAGTATGTCACGGTCAGCTTTATCAAAATAGAATGTCCAGAGCTTTCAACAAAAGGGTCAGACCAAGACAATTCGCACCGGGGCAGCTGGTGCTGAAGCGGATCTTCCCGCATCAGGATGAAGCCAAAGGGAATTTTCACCCAACTGGCAAGGTCCTTACATGGTTCACTGGGTGCTAACAGGAGGAGCACTCATACTTGCAGAAATGGACGGAGAAGTTTGGCCAAAACCTATCAATTCAGACGCAGTCAAGAGATACTATGTTTAGACTGTTTACATTTCTTCATCTAATTTAACTGAACTACGCTTGACCTGATTCCGGTTTAAGAGGGGATATGTAGGCAGCCCCATGGGTTCGGTCACATTTTAATTAAATCTTCATTTCCCTAGAACCAAAAACTGGGGCAGAATTTTGAGGAGGACCCTCAAAATTCCGGAACAAGGCCAGCCGACGCCATCATATGCCAGACAGTCATAAATCGGTTAAGTAACTGGGGCAGAATTTTGAGAAGGATTCTCAAAATTTCGGAGCAGATCCAACGAACTTCGTTACACGTAGAACAGTCAAAGAATTGCTTTCAAACTGGGGCATAATTTTGAGGAGGACCCTCAAAATTCTAAAGCAAGGAGGTCGCGGTGTCTCTAAAATATGTCACAGTCACTGATTCATCTAACTTACTTGATATTATATACTACTATGTTTTCTAAAATAACTCTATTTCATCAATAAGTACATATTTTCGAAAACTTTATTTCTATGACCACCAGGTGTTACCCAGGGCAACTCGAACAGGGCCTCCAGAACAGAGCAGAGCGAAGCAAGCAAACAAAGGCACGAACCAACCTCCCCCTACTGAACTCATGATTTTTCTTCGGATGCAGGTACAGTGAACAGGAGTATTCGCAAATATACACATATCAAAATCACTAACAACCAGGCCGCCAAGCGCAAGTATATCTCCAGCTAAGAAATATTCTTCTCCTATTTGCTATTTTTCCATTGCACGAGACTAAGCTCTGTCTCGATCCTTGCATGAGGCTAAGCTAAGCCTCCCTATCTGCATAAGGCTAAGCATTGCCTTCTCTTTGCATGAGACTAAGCTCTGTCTCGATCCTTGCATGAGGCTGAGCCCTGCCTCCATATTTGCATAAGGCTAAGCATTGCCTTCTCTCTTTACATGAGACTAAGCTCTGTCTCGATCCTTGCATGAGGCTAAGCCCTGCCTCCATATTTGCATAAGGCTAAGCATTGCCTTCTCTCTTTGCATGAGACTAAGCGTTGTCTCGATCCTTGCATGAGGCTAAGCCCTGCCTCCATATTTGCATAAGGCTAAGCATTGCCTTCTCTCTGCATGAGACTAAGCCCTGTCTCAAATTTTGCATGAGGCTAAGCCCTGCCTCCCTATTTGCATAAGGCTAAGCACTGCCTTCTCTTTGTATGAGACTAAGCCCTGTCTCACTTTTCACATGAGGCTAAGCCCTGCCTCCTTATTTGAATAAGGCTAAGCACTGCCTTCTCTTTGTATGAGATTAAGCCCTGTCTCACTTTTCACATGAGGCTAAGCCCTGCCTCCTTATTTGCATAAGGCTAAACATTGCCTTCTCGTGAGACTAAGCTTTGTCTCCCTCTGCATGAGTGTTGCTCTATTTTAAACTTTGCATTATCTTTTTCTCTCAGGGCTAAGCTCTACCCCCAAACTCTGCACAAGACTAAGCTTTGTCTTGTTATTACCTTTGGTACCCTGTCTCTGCAATTTATGGGCGGATGTATAGCCAACCTGTCTGAATGCGTCATAGTCCGAAGGCATCATTCTCATAGCCTGAAGACACTATGTCATGGCCTGAGGATCTCTCAATACTGCACATCATTATTCAAAGGCGTCATGGTTCAGAGGCACCATCTTCATGGCCCCAGAACATCATTTCATGGCCTGCGAATCCCTTATCTCATGATTCATGGCCCAGGACGTCATGGTCTAAGGACGTCATCTTCACTATCCAAAGACAACCTTCATGGTCCAAAGGGAATTTGCATCATGTTTAAATTATCGTAGTAATCTATTTACTTTCATGCATTGTGTTTAAGTTTTGCAGGAAACCCAGGAGGTGACCGTTCTTCAAACAGGAGCAACCTTCGCTCCGGTTTTCCCTCACACCATTTGCACCTTGCCATCATTTCAAATATAACCGATTCCCATCAGCTGCTCGCCTTCACTCCATTACTATTCAGATACCTGCCCTGTGATATGTCTGTTACAATTCAGATTCGCCTTCATAATCCCGCACAAACCCATCCAATACCACCCTTCACAAAAGAACCTTTTCCGAAACATACTACCATTCCTATAACAATTCCATCGGTTTCATTCACCGGTGGGTCCAGAACTACTCATGGCCTGATTCCTGTAAAACCGGGGATATGTCGGCAGCTCAGAGACCGGTGTGCGGCCTATATTTTTCTAAACACAACATTCGGTCAAAATCGGTCATCAATTCTTTACCCGACAACTCTTTCATCCTTCCCGGGTAAAGAGGGGCAGCTGTTGATACCCAATTTTTCCCTCATATATTTTTTAAATGCCTATATACTTTCAAAATAGTGCATGAACATCAACCAGTATTTTTCCATAATTTTCTGTAATTTTTAAAAAAGGATTTTAAGTAATTTATTCCAGCATTTTATTATCTAAATAATTACTAATTGCATCACAAATAATTTTATAATGATTTATTACTTGATTTTTATCATTTATATTAAGCTTTAATCATTTTAGGCATAAATATATTTATATCTTTAGGCTATAATTGCAATAACTTTGCAATAATAGCCCTTATATTCATAATTATATTATTTACACGGAAAATGACCTTTTATATTTTTATAATATTAATTAATTATTTTAAATCATTTCCATGCATTAATAATATTTTATCATTTCTTAGCTATTTTTATAAATTATTTTATCAAATTAATTGGGTATTTAACATTTAGCCTCTTTTAATTTGATTTCTTTTCGGACCTGGCCCAAATTGCCACCCCAGCCCAATTAAATTAACCCATAACCATAACCCATAACCCGTCTAAACCCGCCCCGGCCTAAAACTGATCGTGGCCATTGATATCAGAAGATCTCCGGTCCAGGATCCACCTTCCATTTTTATTACACCACCCCCCCCCCCAAACCCTACCTCATTTCTAAAAATCCGCCGCCCCTGAATCCCTTCCTCCTCTCCTCTCTCTCAACTTTCCCCTAACCCTAGCCCGCCGTCACCTGAACCCCTTCAATCCATGGGGTTTCTCTTCGATCTTGGGCCTTATATGGCCTCCTATCTCTACTGGTTATACGATTTCTACGCTGCTTGATGTAAATCTCAAGAGACTCGAACCAAATCTAGTTCAAAGTCTCTCCTTTCTCGATTATTCCGTCTATGTTCACTCCGATACCTGTGAGTACGAGTATCTTCGTATTTTTTGGGTTTCAAACCTCTAGTTCAAACCAGATTTGATTCGCTTCTGTCTATTTTTTATGAACCTAACTACTTTCTTGTTGAACCCGTTTAGATCTCTTTAGATCTGAAACGATTTTGTGCTTGTTTGGTATTTCTCCCTTAAGATTTTCTGTTCTTACTATTATTATTGACCGATTTCGTTTACCCTAAAGCTATGGTTTTGATTTCTGATGGATTTCTGCAAATGTTTTCATCTCTGACTTTCTTATTTACTTTTCGACTGATTTTTACTTGATATAATCAAGCTCCATGTATATGTCTTTGT